AAAGAACAACAAACAAAACAACCACCACAAAAAAAGTCACCTGGAGATAACATCATTAGACCACATACATAGGGTGGGGGCTCTAGTTGAGAGCCTTTAGGAATATTCCTGGAGGGCTAGGTGTGGCTTTCCCCAACAATGTGGCTGGTGCAACATTAAATACAAGGTACATGAGACCATCCCTCAGGACTGAGAGGCAGGAGAAATCAGTTCTAAGCATGAAGTTGAGAACCAGGCTGCCATTAACACTGACAAACCAAGGTAGAGTGGATACTAACATGGGCTCTCCTAAATTTTTTATTTTGAACCACACTATGCTCAGGGCTTTCTCCTGGCTTTGTGCTCAGGGATTACCCCTATACTATCTCTCCAGCCCCTACAGTATTCTTTTTTGGGGGGTGGGGGATTCAAGCCACACCTGGCAGGGCTTAATTCTGCCTCTGCACTCAGGGATCATTCCTGGTTGGTTCAGGGAACCATATGGGGTGCCAGGGATCACACTCAGGCTCACTGCGTGTAAGGAAAGTGCCCTGCCCAATGTACTATTACTCAGGCCCTACAAAGCTATTCTCCAGGCTCTTTTTTGGTTCAACTACAGGTAAAGGAACTTAAAAGATGGCTTCTCCTCTGCATCCTGCAAACTGCAAGCCCCAGGCCATTCTGCAGTTGCTTTCTCTTACCACCCCTTTTCATTGTTGTTATCATGGCAATGACTGGGAACTACACACAGGCTTGGTTGTAGGACTCACCTAACTTTTACTTGTGGTGCTTTCAGAGGGTAGCTCACTCAACTGCATTGCAACACTAACCAGCAGAACTGCCAGGACTCTGCTAGGTGCATGTGGGCAACAATCAGGGATCAAATTCAAACCTTTATGCCAGCAAGCCAGGTGCTTTTGCTACTGAGCCATCCCCATAGATGTTTTTCCTTTTTTGGTCACACTTGGTGGTGATCAGGGCTCACTCCTGGCTCTGTGGTAAGGGATCACTCCTGGCAGTATTTGTGAGACTATGTAGAATGCTGCAGATTAAATTTGGGTTAGTGGATTGAACCCAGGTTGACCCAGCTCCTATTGTTGTCTTCATTGTTTTTTTTGGGGGGGTGTAGGGAGGCAAGGGTTAATCAGTAGTGCTAGGGGGACTTATGTGGTGCTGGGGTGTTAACAATGTTTATAGCCATTTTCAGGCAAACATTTTTACTTTTCAGTATCTCTTTGGCCTCTGTTTTTGCTTTCTTTTTATTTATTTATTTATTTATTGGCTTTTTGGGTCATACCCAGCGATGCACAGGGGTTACTCCTGGCTTTGTACTCAGGAATTACTCCTGGCGGTACTCAGGGGACATATGGGATGCTGGGAATCGAACCCGGGTTGACCGCGTACAAGCCAAATGCCCTACTCGCTGTGCTATCGCTCCAACCCCCTGTTTTTGCTTTCTTAACCATTCAGAGAGTCTTTAAATTTTGCAGGGCTATGGGGCTGGAGTGATAGATAGTAAAGAGGGTAGGGTGTTTGCCTTGCACACAGCTGATCTGGGTTCGATCCCTGGCATCCCATATGGTCCTCCAAGTACTGCCAGGAGTAATACCTAAATTCAGAACCTCGAGTTACCCTTAACCAGGTGTCACCCCAAAAATAAAAATAAATAAATTTTGCAGGGGTATGAGGAGTTGAAGGGATTGTGTGGGGGTGATGATGGAAGGTAGGGGCAGCATAAAGAGAATGATTTAGAGATGTTTTGTGTTATTGCTGTTCTTGATTCACATCCAACAGTGCTCAGGGCTTACTCCTGCCTCTGTGCTCTGGGATCCTTACTGGAGAGCTCAGGGGACCATAGAAGGTGTAGGGGACCAAACCCAGCTTAGCAGCATGTAAGGCAAACGCCCTGCCCTTTGGAATCTCTCTGGCCTTGAAGTTTTTATTATTGGATTATACCTCAGTGTTACGAGGAATCTCTCCTTCCTCTTTTTCTTGGAAAAGAAAAGTTTTTAACATAGGATATTAGCCCGGGATCACTTTTAAAAAATAAAGCCATGTGAATTCCCCATAAGTATACTATTAAGTGATCATCTTTCCTATGCTAACTGATCTTGTGTGTGTGTGGGGGGGGCACACCCTGTGGTATGAGGGATGGTGAATTCACTCTTGGAAGTGCCTAGGGTACATGTCACATGGTATCAGAGATAGAAGTTAGGCTTCAGCCCTCTGTCTTTTTTTGTTTGTTTGTTTGTTTGCTTTTTGGGTCACACCCATCATTGCACAGGGGTTATTCCTAGCTCATGCACTCAGGAATTACTCCTGGTGGTGCTCGGGGGACCATATCGGATGCTGGAAATAGAACTCGGGTCAGCCGTGTGCAAGGCAAATGCCCTACTCGCTGTGCTATCGTTACAGCCCCAGGCTTCAGCCCTCTGAACTTGGCCCCAGCTAGTAGCATTTTATCGAAAAGAATCACTAAATAATCATTACTAGATTATTAGATGTCAATTAGAAATGAGATGCAGAGAGACAAGAAAAATGGGTTAGGGGCTAGCGCAACATGACAGCGGATCAGGCATTTACCTTGCATGAGGCCAACCAGCTCGATACCTGGCATCTCCTATGGTCCCCTGAGTACCTTCAGGAGTGATTCCTGAGTGCAGAGCCAGAAAGAAGTAAACCCTGAGAACCCCTTGGTGTGGCCCTAACCTTCCCCCGCAACCCCATCAAAGAAAGACAGAAAGAAAGAAAGAAAGAAAGAAAGAAAAATGGGTTAAAGATGGGAGCTTTAGGGCTGCGGCAATATACAGCATATAGGGCAGCACCCCATCTGATTCCCCAAGCCCCACCAGAAATGATTCCTGTGTGCAGAGCCAGGAACAAACTCTGATCACCTGGGTGTGACCCCCAAAACAAGGAAATGAACAAAAAGATAGATGCTTGTAGAGTTGCCAGCAGGTAGTCAACTTGACAATCAGTTTATAGGAATGAGTTTCCACAGTACCAGGAAATTTCATTGGAAAAGAGCCTTAAGGACCTGGAGTGATTGTACATCAGGTAGGGCGCTAAGCCTTGCACAAGGCTGACCTTGGCTGACCTTGGTTAGATTCCTGGCATCCCCTAGGGTCCCCCAAGCACCACCAGGACCGATTCCTAGGCACAGAGTCAGGAATTACCCCTGAGAATTGTCCATTGTGGCACCCCTCTTCCCTCCCCCAACAAAAACAAGGATTTTAAATATTTTATTATTTACTTCTCCCTGAAGGAGGCTCAAATTAGTCTTATGAAAAGCTCGGATCCAAGTCCAGGGTCAGGACACTTTTTCTCCTTTTATAGTATAATTAATAGATCACATGACCATCTGGCACTTCTCCCTCTCCTGTCAAGGATTTTTTTTGTCCCTCTCAGTTCCAAGAATCCAAGTGATCCTTGATTTGTCAGGGCCTGAAATGCTATTTCCTCTGCTTGGAATGTTCTCTTCCCCTTCACATCTCAGCTAAAAAAGACACCAGCTCCCCACCCAGGTTCTAGGAGCCCCAGTTTACTAACTTGGTTTCTTTCATCTGGAACACGATCGGTTTTTAAACTCCAGTAGGACAGAAGCTAAATTCCTACCGCCCATCACAGGACTGGTACAGGAGCTAATTTAAAGCACTGAACGGAGATCCTTAGATATAAGCTGGAACGAATCGTGCCAGAAGCTATGGACAGCCAACCCCGAGGGAAAAACCTTGCAGGTTGGGTATAACCCTGTCACCTTGAGCGGATTACTTAGAACACCGGATTGTCTGCTCGCAGTAAGTAGGAATATTTGCAGCTACGTTTAGGTTAGTACAGTTGCGACTGCAGTGGGACCGGATCAGGGGCTTCCTCGTGGAGCTGTCCGTCGGCCAGGGACCACGCTCCAGGTGCTTAAAACTATCCCAAAGCACTCCCATCTCCTTGCACCGCCGGAGGATGACGCCACCGGCCAGATGTCTAATGATGTCACCTCCGGGCCAGCAGGGCTGGCCTCGCCATGCTCGCCTCCTCCGGAAATGCACAAGGTTCCCTGCCTCCGGCTTTCGGTTCTATTTCCTCTTCGCAGCCCAAACTCCTTCCCTCCCCTGCTCGCATCTGACACTCTGGGTTCTTTCCGTCCTCTTTCTTTTGCAGTTAGCACTTTTGGGGCTCTGTCCTCCAGCTTCCGGGGCGAATTCCTCCCAGTCCACAGGGCTCTAAATTAATCTCTTTAGCTCCGCCCTTGTGCTCCTGCCACCAAAGTCCCTACTTTATCCTCGCCTGGCCTCTATCGACTATTTCCGCCTCCTGTCCTCCACCCCCCGACGCTGCCCTCGGCCCCTTCTGGACGGACGCCGGTGCCTTGTAGGTTTTCTTTTATTTATTTATTTATTTATTTATTTATTTATTTTCCCCCTAGACCCGAACGGCTTCGGCTATTTCCGGTCTCCCCCCCCCACTGCCCCCAGCGTCTCTAGCCCCGCCCACCGCCCCGCTTCGTTTCTTTCCGGCTCCCCCAGACCCCGCCCCGTCGGTCCGCTCGGCTCTCCTCGGCCTTTTCCGCCACGCCTCTCGGCCTCACCCGGGAGCTCGGTTCTTTCCGCCAAAGACCGAGCTCCGCGTCACGTGATGCACACCGCCCCGCCCCCCGTTCCCCCTCCCACCTCGGCCGGCCTCCCGCCTCGGCCCGGCAGGCTCGTCCGGCTCGGGCCGCCATTTTGTGTGAATTTCTGACTGCGGCGGGGGCCGGGCGAGCCGGGGGCACTTCGGGGCGGCCAGACCAGACTGTCGGGCCGACTCTGCGGCCCCGTTTTCCTCTTCCGAAAAAAATCCTCTTTTATTTATTTACTACCCCCTTTTCCATTTTGATTTAACCCCCGCCTCCCCTCCCCTCCTCGCTCGCGCTTCTCTTTCCCCTTCCCCCTCGCTTGCTCCACCGCGCGCGGCCCGCGCTAATCACACCCGACCAACCCACCAGTGTCCGTGCCCGCCCCCCCGGGTCTCCCGCCCGCACTCCCGCGGGGGTGTGTGTGTGTGCGTGTTGCGGGGTGCGTGTGCGGCCTCTGGGCCCCGATGAGGGCCCCGCGCCCGTGAGCGAGGGAGCCCCCCGGCCGGGGGCGGGCTGCGGAGAGCGCCAAGGCGGTGAGCGGCCGGCGGAGGCCGCGCCAGCGACGCGGAGGTCGGCGCAGAGGTGATCCGAACCCGAAAAAAGAGAAAAAAACTAGATCACATCTACCCGTGGCACCCCCGTCCCTCCGCGGGGGCCGTCGGAGCCCAAGTGTGCCCTGCCCGCCACGCCCAAGCAGTCCTTTTTCGTGCATTAACATCCCCTCCCCCCGCCCCCCAAGGAACTATGGAGGCCGCGCCCGGGACCCCCCCGCCGCCGCCATCAGAGTCGCCGCCGCCGCCATCGCCGCCGCCGCCGTCGACGCCTTCGCCTCCTCCTCCGCGTCCCCCCGACGGCTGCCCGGCCGCCCCGCACCTCCTCCACCACCGCCTCCCGCTCCCTGACGACAGGTCAGGCCCCCGGCCCGGCCGGGGCGGCGTCCCCGGGGGGAGGAGGAGGAGGAGGAGGAGGAAGGCGGCCGCCATGTTGGGCCGGGCCGCGGAGGAGGAGGAGGAGGAGGAGGAGGAAGGGCGGGGTCGGGGGGTGTCTCTCGCTCGCTCGCTCGCTCGCTCTTTCTCGCTTGCTTTCTCTCCCGGCCTCATGCGTGTCCCCCCCCTCGCGGCGCTCGCCCGCTCTCCCTCGCTCTCGCTCTGTCTTTTTTGGGCGCCATGCTGAGGGGAAGGTGAGGAGGCGCCCCCCGGACCCCCCGCGCCCGCCTGCCCGCCCTGGGGAGGGGGCGCCGGCGGGGCGGGGGGGGGAGGGCTGCGGAGGCCCGCGGGGGGACCCGGCTGCCCCCCGAGCGCCCGGAGCGGGGCCCGCCCCGGGCCCGGCCGCCCGTCGCCTGGCTTTGGGGAAGGGGATGGGGGAGGGGCGCCCGGACCCCCTTTTTACGGGGGTGGGGGGGCTAACGAAGCGCAGCCCGGCTCCTGGGGGTTCGGAGTCGGTGGTCTCCCAGCCCGCCCCCCCCCCCCCGGCGAGTATCCTTTCTCTTGGGGGGAGCCGCACCCCGCCCTGCCTAGAGAGGTCCCCGAGCTTGCTTAGGCAGGAAGAGGGGGTTCGCCCAGGCCTTTCTCCATCCTTCCAGTGGGGGGTCCCGGAGAGAGAGCTCTGGCACTCGTTTTTGGGGGGCGCGGGCGGTGTTTCTTAGCTATCCCTTAGTCACATTGGCGTGGGGGCATCTAGCCTCTGGTGCACGCCCCTTCCCCTTTTGGGGAGACCCCCCTTCCCCATGTGTTTACTTAAAGGAAAGGGGTCCTCTCGCCTTTCGTAAGTAGGTGATGCGATTATTTTTTTGGTGGGGGTGGGGTGGGCGGCTGAGACCTGGTGTCCCTGCTCTGGAAGGGAAAGTGGATTCCCCCCTTTTTCACGGGCGGGGTGGGGTTGCCTCCTGGCGGGTTAAAATGGGGCGCCATCCCTTCCGGGGGAGCGAATGAGTGCTGGGGTAAGGGGCAAAACGGAGTGCCCGCGGCCCCCGCCAGGGCTCTAGGAAAGTGCGAAGTGGGTCGTGTCCCCCCCCCAGCCTTGTAATAAAAGGGCCCAGCCCGGGTCCGGTGGAGGGTAAAGTTGGGGCCCCGTTTTCCCTGCTCTCGCAGGAAGAGGGTTTGGGGGTGATGCGGGTGGAGCGTTGGGGGGGCGAGGTGACCCTGGGAGCGGGTTGGAGGCGCAGCAGCAGTCCTGGGGGGGAGTGGGGGAGGGGAGGGGACCGGGACGCGCCAGACTGGTGACGGCTGCGACCTCGTTGGGGGGCGGCCCGACCACCCTCCCGCCCCTGCCAGGCTCCACTGCCCCTTCCCCCCCCTCCCCGCCCCTCCCTTTCTCCACAGACCCTCCTTTGCCTTTTTAAAGAAATGCCACCCATACTCAAAGACACAAGTGCCGCAGTTTGGTGAGCCTTTACAATATTTTTTTTTGTGTTTTTTTTTTTTGTTCTAATTAAATGTATCGTCCTGGGACCCGCAGCCCATCGCAGCCCGACTCCAGTTCCAGGAAATAAACAGATTAGCGAAGGTCTGTTCGCTCAGCCCACGTTGGGCTTCGGGGCCCCTCTTGGGGGTAGGTGCTTTACTCAAAGGTGCTTACACGCTTTATTCGACCTCTGAGGAGTTCTCTTATGTCAGAAGTGTATGTCTTACAATGGGTTGGGATGGTAAGTAGCCTCTTTTATTGAGTAATTCAATTATCTCCCTCTTCTTGTCCCCTTCCTGCCTGCCTGCCTCTCGCCTGTAGACCAAAGTGATGCTTGAGAGAGTGACTTTGAGAATGTTCAGATCAGGATTCTAAAACCCTGTTAAGCCCTTTTAGACTTTGCACATCCTGTTGATGTTTAAAAAAATTTGTTTAATTGAACGTACACAGTTTTCTCAAAGGAAAAAAAAGTATTACTGTAACATGACAAAAACCTCCTTAAATGACCCGTGTTTTCAAGCCCTTGGTATCCCTCTCCCCATGGCAAACCGATTGCTTTGTCTCGAAGAAAGTGGATACTTCAATTTCATTTGTAGCAGACAAGGTTACTAAAACTTGGTTTCTGATACTTGCATTCAAGTTAGTGCTCCTTTCTCTTACCTTCATCCTCCCCTTCCCCCCCCCCCAAAAAAAGGAGAAAGAAAAAATTGTGGTTCAAGTAGATCCAATTTTCTCATTTTACTTCAATGTCTCTTATGGTGATGGACGTTTAAATTAAGCAAGTCATTTGTAAAGTACTGTCGAAGCACCAAATCTGTAAACTGTGTCAAGCCGCATTCTCCTCTGCCTGTCTCCACTGCTCCTTTGTTCGAAAGCACATGCCTGACCGTGAAAAGTTGATGCAAACGTGTTACACGCCCAGTCATGGTGGAAAGGAGCGAACACTATCTCCAGCCCCCAGTACGCCCCCCTTCCCTCTCACCCCTGTCCAACACGTAACAAGGAAAAAACAGCCACAGAAATGACTTGCAGAACCAAACACCACTTCTGATGTGTTTTACAAGCATAAGTTCTTCCGTTAAAAAGACAAAACACGCTAAGGTCCATCTTGCCTATTGTCCACCTTTATTAGCGCCAACTTTTAACACCCAGCAAACTTTCCACTCCCAAAGATGCTGCTTCTCTTTTTCCATCCTTCCAAGGAAAAACAGTTCACTTACACAGAGGGGAAGAAACGCAAACTGCCATTCTGTTGGGGCCACCTGTTTTGTTCTTCCTTTTAGTATGGACACCCCTTAACTGCCTGAAAGAGGTGACAGGTTTGTGGGAGGAAAAAAACGTCCACTGTACAGTTCTTGCAAAAAAATGTCTGAAGCACAAACTATGAACACATTGTCCAGTATGCAGGGTCAGCCAAAATATGAATTGCATTTATTTCCCATCCTTTGAAATTCCTCCCCCGGGAGCCAAGAGCAGAGACTGAATGCTAACAGTTGGACCTTCCAAATTTTAAGGACTACTGAGTTCTAGAAGAATGCTGTTAAGTGGACTGTTAAGATAAAATGTTAAGGAAATGGAATTTCTTTTGTAGAGGGAATTCTAGCAGTTGTTCCTTGAATTGGAAAATTTCCCCCCAAACATTTAAAAAGTTCTTGGGGGCGAACCAAAGCAATGGTTGATAGTGTTTTTTTTTTTTATCCCCTTCTCAAAGGCATTTCAACCATCATATTCAAGAAGTCCCAGTAATTATGTGAGACTATCTTTTGGTAGCCTTTGTTTTTGAAATGTCACAGTACTGCCTTTCTCCCCAAAAGAAACTGATGTACCAGTCTTAGTTAAAATTCAAATTAATGGATGTTGCAAAAAAAATGAAAAAAGGGTGTCACTTAGAATCCCTGATTTAACTGTAACTCTTAAACACTTAAATTCTTTACCATATTAATTTTTTCTGGGGAGTGGTCTATTCTGAAAGCAAATTCTCCCTGTAGGATCCAAGTCCATTGTGCCAGGAAATTGGAAAATTCTGATCCTAGACCCCTGTATTCCTGATCCCCTTCGAATGGGCTCTTAAAAAATATCACTGTCACTGTCCCCGTCGTTCATCGATTTGCTCCAGCGGGCCCAGTAATATTTATATATATTTATATATACACCTCCTTTCTTTCCCCAGGCTTTCTAACTTGTGTCCTCTTCTTCCAAAAGGGTAGGGTTTTCATTTGCTCTGAAGGTTTAGCATCTTCTTTCTGGATGAGCTGGGAGAGCTAGCTGTTGGAGAATGTTCTAGAGCTTCTGAACCAGCAAGGCCTGCTGCCTGGGACAGGTGCTTTGCACCTGTGGAAAAGAAGGCTTTTCCAGCTGTTGACCACCTGGCAAGTTAGTTGTCTTCAGTTGATTGACTTGGAATTTGTGTGTCAGGTGGTGGCTGGGAGACCATTTCCTATTGAGCTGGTTTAGTGTTCTGTCTACCTCCCTTTCCTTCTCCCAGATCTTTTTTCTGACAGGAGAGGTGACTGCCTCAGGGTTGCCTTATTGTCATTTCTGCTGGTTTTGTTGTTGCTGCTGCTGCTGCTATCAGACTTAAGCTCCAGCTCCAATTACAGTTCGAGACCTGCTCTTGGTTTCAGTCTCCTGGTTCTGGGACTGGTTCTGGGATATGGCTATTTGAAGAAAAAGCATTTCTAGCAAATAGTAAAGTGAAATGTTCCTTTTGAAAGGAGGCAGGCTTTGGTCTACCTCTCCTGACACAATAGGTGGGAAAGGATGGTTTGAGGATTCCTGGTTGTCAGTTATTATTGAATCAGCTGAACCCGAGGCCCTGCAGACACCGTCTGTCTGCTCCATGGCTGGGGGAATGGTGTCAGGATAAATGGTCACAGGACGTTTTCCCAATTAAAACCCAAAGAGTGGGAAAGCTGCCTGTTTGCAAGGAGCCAGATACCATTCATTTGAGAAAGGTCAGACAGATTGCGGGGAGCCTGAACTGCCCAGAGAATTGGTCTGTCTCTTTTGGTACTTGGTGATGGTGCCTGCTGGAAAGCCCTCGACCAGCTTCCACTGTGGCTTCAGCAGGAAGCCCTGGGCTGCTGGATGCCAAAAACGAAACTGTGATGGTGCCTTGCTCTTGGAATGTTTTGTTCCCGCCCCCCCACTCCCAACACCACCTCTAGCAGAACACAGGATATTTTCGAAGTATTGTTTGTTTCTCTTGGCCGAAATGTCCTGAATGGGGGATTTGTCTTGTTTTGGTCACTTTGCGTCTGTGTCAGCTGGTGACTCAGCTCTGCTAGGCCAGCAGCAAGCGCTGTTGAACATTGGACCTGGGACAGGAGATGAAGGCTTTGAGGGCTGACCAGCCTGCTTGGGGTGGGCTCTGCTGCCTTGTGTGCTGGGGAAAGCCAGCTCCCAGGCTCCGAGGGGTGCCTGCAGAAAGCTTGGCAGTCAGGGGGTCTTGTTTTTCTCTCTTATGTGACCATTGTGAGGATCTTGTTTTTTTTCTCTCCACTGA